GAACAAACGATGAGAGTTTGAGACGCAGACTTACGAGATAGAGAGAGAGGAGACCAGCAAGCCTCACCAGCCCCATCCCTATCCCAGATCTACAAATCTGAGAGAAAGAGGATAATACCCATCCCAATCTATAGATCAAATCGAGAAATAGACTCCCCTTCCCTTGTTTCCGCCTTCGTATATAGGATATTTTAAGAGGTGAACATCTTGTTTAGTAGCGAGGTCTAGGAAAAGAATAGGAAAGAAAATTTCACTATATTTCTAACCAAGAACAGGGCCTATCACAAGAATCTTTAAGAAGGCCCAACAAAGAAAAAGAAAGAAAGAGAGAAGAAAAATAAGAGAAAGGAACAAGCTCATACCTGGAGGAGGTTTGATTTGGAACGTGGGAGTGGAGGGTGGCTCTGGACTCAAAGAGTTAAGTTGCTAAACTCTTCTCCTTTCGATATCTGGGTGTGCTCTCTGTCTCTCTATCGTTCCATTTCTCTCTTTGTTATGCTGGACGACAATTTTTTGGGCTTGAAACGATAATTTTCTGACCTAGACCTCCGATTCCCAAATATTTTTTTTTATTGGAAAAAAATTCTTGTATTCAAAATCAGAAAAATATCAAGAATGTTGGATAAGGAATCCAACTACAAAAGCAATGAAAAGGAAAAAGAAAAAACAAAAATTACAAACAAAGGAAATATATAAATAACTTGTTAATCACATAAAGTTAGTCATCCTGAAAGTATAGCAAAAAATGGAATCCCTCTAAACTACTTTATAACTAAGGCCAAAAAAGCCACTAAGAAATGAATCTGGTCCCATAAGCCATCCAAACAGTCTTCTCTGTCTTAAACAATGCATGTGTTTCTCGCCTTCCATATAACCCAAAAAGTTGCAATTATAGTACAATTCCATAGAGTGATATCCTTATCAATAGATCCTAAGCCTTTCAAATCTTCAACAAACAAAGATATGGATGATTTAGGAAGCACCCAACTCAAGTCCACCAAGTTAAACAACTTTTGCTGCAAAGTCAAAGTAATAACGCAATGTAAAAACAAATGATCAATACTTTCATAATCACTTTTACACATCACACATTACTAAGGAGAAAGACAATTAATAGGTCTCCTACTCTAAAGTATATCGTTAGTATTAATCTTCCCATGTGCAATAGTCCATGCAAAAACTTTCACTTTAATATGCACTTTTGCTTTCCAAATCATTACAGTTGGAATAAATGGAGGAGTTGATGAATGGACAATTAAAGAATCATAGAATTATTTAGTGGAAAAAGCACCGGATGACTCAAGTACCCATCTCCTTCTGTCGCATAACTCTTGAGATAACAAAATGTCATCAATAGTAGCAAGAAGAGACTTCAACTCCAAAGTATCTCTATCATCAAAATTTTTACGAAAACCAAAGTTCCAAGAATAAGGACGATGAAAAGAGCTAATCATGGAAGAAATAGATACACCATGAAAACCAGATAAGTGATAAAGCCGTGGAAACAAAAATGACAAAGATAACTCCCCCACCCAAGGATCTTCTCAAAAACGAATCATTTCTCTATTACCCACAACAAAACTAGGATTATGGAAAAACCTCGTTACAACCAAAGATAAGAATTTCCATGGGCATAAAACTTACCCTCTCAACCCTATTAGTTTCTCATCCATTGGCTTGTAAATCATATTTGTTCTTAATAACTAAATACCAAAGAGAATTTTGTTCTAAAGGAAACGTCCAAAGCCACTTGTCCACTAAAGCAATATTTCTAACCCTCAAATAACCAATCGAAAGACCACCTTTATCTCTAGATCTAGACATCACATTCCACCTAATCAAATGATAATACCCCAAATTTTTGAAATATATATATAACTTAGTTTAGGTCAATTTGTGATATTATTTTTGAAAAGGGATGTTAGTGTAATTATTGAATGAGGAATTTTAGGGTTATCGTAGGGTTTCTTTTATTTTGTATATACATATATGTAGGCAGTCAAAATAGGGCAAACAAAAAAAAAAGGAGGATTTAGCCGAGAGAGAGAGAGAGAGAGAGAGAGAGAGGAGGGAAGAAAGAAGAAGGGATTTGGATCTATTAAAGGTATGAATTCATTAATTGTTGGTAAGTTTGTAAGTTATTCAATTACATAGTATTAAGGTTATTATAAATAGTGATACAAAATACTTTATATATATATATATATATATATATAAAGTATATATATATATATATATCATGGTGAAGAATAGTAATGAATGTATAAATAGGTTTTATTGGAAGTTGTTAATTTAAGTGTTTTGACACCTAATATAGATTTAGTGTTTTTGAGGCTTTAAAGAATTTTTTTAATGTCTTACAATGCAAAAAGAAAACAAAGGGGAAAGGAAGTATACAGGTTCCAGGTTCTGCCGCCGGAAGAAGAAGACCAAATCCAAAAAATTACAGAAAGCTCCCTTTTAATTTCAAAGAGTTTTATTTTGACCCCTTTATTCTTCTAAACTTAATTTTAAGTACCTTTTTACTTGGTAAGTTGCATGAACAGAATTCTGAAAATTTTATGGCAAGCCCGAAAACAGAAAATTCGTTTTTCAAGGAAATTACATTTTGACCGCAAAAGTTTCAAAAATTATGATTTGACCCCATAACTTTAGAAATTTTTTTCAAACAGTCCAGAATACTTTTATACCCTATTAACTCATATTAGAAAATATATTTATATGTAAAAGATATATTAAGTATATATCAATGGGTAGGAAGTATAAAGATTAAATATAGAATCACGAAATGACGAGGTTAAGAAAAAAAATTGACTGTTATATGTTATTTTGGATTAGGTGGTGATTGCATTGAGATTGAGAAAGAGTGCTTTGAATTGGATTTTAAAAATCAAGGTGATAGTTTACTACTTCTTTTGGGAGGATTTTCTATATTAAATTGTGGGTGCTTGTGTGTGAATTTTTTATATATATGATATATGTTGATGTTTGGAGTTGCAATTAAATGTTTTGCACTTGTGAATTGTTATGTATGTGAATTTGAAAAACTTATGAGATGATTTTATATCATTACTTAAATGTGTTTTGGCGATGAAAGGAAAATTTTGTGTGCGTTGGGACTAAAACAACAGTTTTAGTGTGTGTTGAAATCATGTTTTATGAGAAGGGTACTGGCTTATCAGGTCTAAATGGTAACGAGATTGTATACCGGCGTGGTTGGTATAGGGATGTGCATATAGGAGCCAGTTATCAAGCTAGTGATAACAAGAGACGAGGCCAATCATCAGGCTAGTGATGACAAGAGATGGGGCCAGTTACTAGGCTAGTGGTAACAAACATAATTTGATAAATGTATTTGAGATTGAGTGTGTGTGTGAGTATTTTGAGTTATAAATGTCTTTTTATTTATAAAGTTATTTGTGATCATGAGATTATTTTGTTTGCATGATTATGTGGGAGGGATTGAGGTACAATTTGTTACACTTATGTATGTATCAAAGTTTATTTTTTTATATAAATTGTGGGATTTATTTTCACACCTCATTAGAGGTGGTTGTTATTCACGGGCCTTTGCGCTCACCCAAACATTTAACATTTTTAGGTGAGGATCAGGGGGAGGAATAAGTCCTCGGATAGACAAAGGATTAGAAAAATTGAAGATTTATTTTATTGTAGGTCTTCAGGAAAAAATGTATTTTATGGTCTTGAGACAAATATTTAATTGTTTTGGGAATAATGTTGCTCATGTTTAGACTTTAGAGTAGTGAACTTTATGGTTTATTTATTGTTTTACATGAGTTTAATAATGATGTTGATGATGTTTAGTTTATTTCTCTGGTGTTCATTAGGTTGATAAATTGTATCACTTTATTATTTGTCTTACGTTGTATTTTGTATTTATTATGCACATGAATGACTAGTTAAGGCTTTGGTAGCCGGTCCACCGCCCACCCTATGTGATCCGGGGTGAGGGTGTGACAGTGNACGTTGTATTTTGTATTTATTATGCACAGGAATGACTAGTTAAGACTTTGGTAGCCGGTCCACCGCCCACCCTATGTGATCCGGGGTGAGGGTGTGACAGTGAACCACACAGACAAATCTCATGGGCTGAGTGTCAATATGTTATTCATGAGTGGGGAGGTTTGGCTGTTTCTGTCTGTTATTAGGATGATACTTGTTAGTCTATAACATGAAATGATTGCATTTAACATCCTGATTGTACTACTTTTTTCCTCAGATATATTTTTTGAAATTTCTGATACATTTCCCCTTTTGGATGACTGTAGCTCAGGCACTTTGTGTGATGGAAATCATCGCGGATACCTTGCTAAAAATTAGGTGTCCAAAAGTTAATAAAAGATCTTTAAAATTTCAATGTGTCTTACACCTTCCTGAATATAAAAATTAATTTTACTTCACACGTAATGCCATTTAGTTTCCACATAACATAATCATTAGAAAATTTCGTGCACAAAGTAATAATTTTGGAATTTATTAAAGACATCTTTCATATCTACTGTCAATCACTATATATTAAAAGGGACAGGGATTAGGTCTCTTGGTCTCCAGCAATTATAAATTCTCGCATCCCCTTGCAAAACATAAAATGGCAGGTTCTATATTTTTTGCATCTTCCTTCTCACATATCTGCATTCTCTCCGTCTCTCTTTGGCTCTGTATCTCTCTCAATGTGCACACGTTGGAACCCAATAAAAAGGACAATTACATTGTAAATATTAAATCCTTTAATGTAGAAACAGGAGTAAGCCTTGAGTCTTGTAATTAAACTTAAATCCAATCCCAAGTCCAAAGCTGGAGAATAGTCGGACAATTTAGTTTTAGAACATTAGAATTGTGCCTTGGCAAGTTGGCATCCATGCAGTAGTTTTGTCTGATAGCATAGACATAGAGGATATTTCAATTTTTTGTAATTTGATGTGCACAAAGCTGTGTTAATCAATTATATTCTTGCATTTCTTCAGAATGCTTTATTTGGGATGGATATCCCACTATATGAGAACAAATGGGTATATGATGCTGAATATGACATTTCCGAGAGTGGTTTTAGGGATGAAATTTCTTTTCGTGATGATTACTTTGAGGTAAGAAATCATTGCTTTTGATTACTGTTCTGCAATTGGAGATCGCCTCTTAGGTTATTTTCCTTTCTGGCTTACATTCTATGTTCTTTTGTTCCAAGCAGTTGAAGAGTTCTGAAATTTTCAATATCCCAGTTGACTGGGGAAGGCCAGATGCTTCCAGATCGCTTCGTCCAGTTTATTTTGGAAAATGTTTGGCAAAGGTGATTACTGCTTGGCCTGGTAGCTAATGTACTAGGTAACTGACTTTGTTGAAGTTGTTTCTGATCACGAAGATGAGCCATAGTTAGCTTTTTTGTAAATGTTAAAATAAACTTGTAGCGGATTGATGATTGTCATATGCNAGATCAGCCATACTTAGCTTTTTTGTAAATGTTAAAATAAACTTGTAGCGGATTGATGATTGTCATATGCATAAGCTCTTATTAATTTTTAGAATGTTGGGGTGATCATTAATGTCTAATTAGAGGGCCTTTACTAATATCATGGTATGTAAGCCTTCTTTGTTTGAGAAGCTCGGCCTTATTATAGANGCATAAGCTCTTATTAATTTTTAGAATGTTGGGGTGATCATTAATGTCTAATTAGAGGGCCTTTACTAATATCATGGTATGTAAGCCTTCTTTGTTTGAGAAGCTCGGCCTTATTATAGAAGCCACTCCTGCTAGAGAAGGTGATGGAGGATATCCTTGATTTTTTTTTGAAAGAAATGATCATAAAAATTCCATTAAACTGATATGTCAGAAAAGAGGATACGCATTAAGAAATCTGGGGGATGCTCTCTCCATACAGATAAATAATCAATAGAACAAGCATGCCTAGCTAGATGATGTGCGACCTTATTCCCTGCTCGTCTGACAACATCTATTTCTAGGATAGCAAATTTATTAGCCTCATTATAGATGTCCCAGTGGATTTTAGTCATCCTCTCTGTCAGCAATTGCTTTGACTACAATAGCCGAGTCCCTTTCGGTGACAACCTCCTGAAACCCATGTTGAAGCATTAGAAAGACAGCTTCTCTGGTGACCATCGTCTCTGCTAGAAGGGCATCACCTTTGATCTGAAACTTTTTGGGGAGTCCTGCTAGAAATTGGTCGCTTTCATCTCTGATAACCACACCAATGCCAATGGTCTCCTCTTGTTCGAAGGTTGCACCATCAAAGTTAATTTTGACGAAACCTGGCTTTGGAGGATTCCACTGCACCTCTCTTTGCGCAGCCTAACTAATCGTCTCCAAATATTGGTCATGGTATCTCTTAGCATTGCAGGCTATTTTCTCCGGTTCCTTCTTCGCATTTTGAAATAGCACCTCGTTAAGGTGCCGCCAAATCATCCAACAGTGGGTTAGGAATAAGGCAAAATCGTCAGCTTTGAGCCTAACATAAGCCTCACGCATCCAAACTTCGGACTCACAACTGGGAGCTGTTCAACCTACCTGAGTGGACCTCGCTTCCAGGAGGATCTCCTTGATTTAGATGTCTTTTTGTATTGATTGTTGCATGACTGGAACTTGGGTGCTCCTGCGAAATTGTTGGAAGGCATTGCTAAATGAGTTATTTGGGCTTGTCTATGGGGTGTTTTGGAAATGAATGCCTAGGTATCCTACCGAAAGTTTGATTGAATATATTACGAGAACGTAAAGGAATGGGATGATGAATAAATAATGATAATGGATCTTTCTAGGGGTACTTTATATTTCAGGATTTATTGGGTTTGTTTGTTAATTTAAGATTTTAATATTATGATTATTATTTTGGAAAGTGCTAATTATGGTTTTAATATACCCTTTAAATAGACCTTATATGTAATGGGTTTCAAGTCTTGGTTATTGATATTGCTAGGAGAATAAATATTAATTGTTTTTTTGCTCTACAAATTCTCTCTCTACTGAAGATGATAAGATTGGCAGAAGCTATAGGATGTTTAGTTTTTGAGTGGCTTTTAAAGTACTTAGGGTTACCTTTAGGGGGTAATCTAAATTCTTTTCTTGTGGGAAGGAAGTGGTGAGGGGAGAAATTATCATTTGATTAGTTGGAATGTGATGTCTAGATCTAGAGATAAAGGTGGTCTTTCGATTGGTTATTTGAAGGTTAGAAATATTGTTTTATTGGGCAAGTGGCTTTGGACGTTTCCTTTAGAACAAAATTCTCTTTGGTATTTAGTTATTAAGAACAAATATGATTTACAAGCCAATGGATGGGACACTAATAGGGTTGAGAGGGTAAGTTTTTTGCCCGTGGAAATTCATATCTCTGATTGTAACGAGGTTTTCCCATAATCCTAATTTTGTTGTGGGTAATAGAGAAATGATCCGTTTTTGAGATGATCCTTGGGTGGGGGAGTTATCTTTGTCATTTTTCCACGACTTTATCACTTATCTAGTTTTCATTGTGTGTCTATTTCTTCCATGATTAGCTCTTTTCATCGTCCTTATTCTTGGAACTTTGGTTTTCGTAGAAATCTTGATGATAGAGATACTTTGGAGTTGATGTCTCTTCTTGCTACTATTGATTACATTTTGTTATCTCAAGAGTTTTGCGACAGATGGAGATGGATACTTGAGTCATCTGGTGCTTTTTCCACTAAATCCTTCTATGATGCTTTAATTGTCCATTCATCGACTCCTCTATTTATTCCAACTGTAATGATTTGGAAAGCAAAAGTGCCTATTAAAGTGAAAGTGTTTGCATGGACTATTGCACATGGAAAGATTAATACTAACGATATACTTTAGAGTAGGAGACCTATTAATTGTCTTTCTTCTTAGTAGTGTGTGATGTGTAAAAGTGATTATGAAATTATTGATCATTTGTTTTTACATTGTGTTATTGCTTTGACTTTGTGGCATAAGTTGTTTAACTTGGTGGACTTGAGTTGGATGCTTCCTAAATCATCCATATCTTTGTTTGTTGAGGATTTGAAAGGCTTAGGATCTATTGATAAGGATATCACTCTATGGAATTGTACTATAATTGCAACTTTTTGGGTTATATGGAAGGATAGAAGCACACGCATTTTTTAAGACAGAGGAGATTGTTTGGATGGCTTATGGGACCATATGCATTTCTTAGCGTCTTTTTGGGCCTTAGTTATAAAGTAGTTTAGAGGGATTCCATTTTTTGCTATACTTTCAGGATGACTAGCTTTATGTGATTTACACATTATTTATATATTTCCTTTGTTTGTAATTTTTTTTTCTTTTTCCTTTTCATTGCTTTTGTAGTTGGATTCCTTATCCAACATTCTTGATATTTTTCTGATTTTTAATACAAGAATTTTTTTTCCCAATCAAAAAAAAAATATTTGGGAATCGGTAGTCAAGGTCAGAAAATTATCGTTTCAAGCCCAAAAAATTGTCGTCCCGCATAACAAAGAGAGAAATGGAACGATAGAGAGACAGAGAGCACACCCAGAAATCGAAAGGAGAAGAGTTTAGCAACTTACCTCTTTGAGTCCAGAGCCACTCTCCACTCCCACGTTCCATATCCAGCCTCCTCCAGGTATGAGCTTGTTCATTTCTCTTATTTTTCTGCTCTCTTTCTTTCTTTTTCTTTGTTGGGCCTTCATAAAGATTCTTGTGATAGACCTTGTTCTTGGTAAGAAATATAGTGAAATTTTCTTTCCTATTCTTTTCCTGGACCTTGCTACTAAAAAAGATGTTCACCTCTTAAAATATCCTATATACGTAGGCGGAAACAAGGGAAGGGGAGTTTGTTTCTCGATTTAATCTATAGATTGGGATGGGTATTATCCTCTTTCTCTCAGATTTGTAGATCTGGGATAGGGATGGGGCTCGCGATGCTTACGGGTCTCCTCTCTCTCTATCTCGTAAGTCTACATCTCAAACTCTCATCGTTTGTTCTCCCTCTCTTTCTCTGCATTTTATTGAGACGTAAGAAGAACGTCTGTTTAGTCCCTCCTTTTTTTTTTTTTTTTTTTTTTGGTATTTTATTTTTGTTATGTCTTTTATATTTTTTAATTAAGTTAATGCCCTCCCCCCCTTTTTTTACTTTTATTCTTTAATTCTTTTATATTATTATTATTTACTAAACTGGTATATTAACAATATATCGTATTTGTTAAATAGTTGTAATTAATTTTAAGGTATATACCTTATTTGTTAAATATATGAAAATGTTTGTGTGTAAAAAATGTTTGAAACTAGTTGAAGTAATTTCCGTCTCGTGTCAAGCCTTTTTTTTTTCCCCTCCAACTTGATGTTATTTTGTATAAATGGATGTTAACCTAATACACATGCTCAATTAATTAATTATTAAGTTTATCTTTATAAATAAATAGATTGTATTTTTGTTTTCATGTGTTTTTATGTTTTTTTCTCCATTCCTTTGAAAATGGTGAGACGGATTGAGAAGATAATTAAGGATTTTTTTATGAGAGCATTGTGGAGAAGATAAGAAAGATCACTTGGTAAGGTTGGATTTGGTGACCCGATCCAAAACTAAAGGTGGTCTTGCATTAGGAAATTTGAAGGTTAGAAAATTTTCATTACCTACCAAATGGTTATGGAGATTCCCCATTGAATTCAATAGTTTACGTCATTTCGTGATTAAAAGTAAATATGAGATTCAAGATAACGGGCGAGATATCAGAAGTGATTGAGAGATGGTGTTCTCGTTGTCCTTGAAAATTCATTTCTCAATGGTTATATTGTTTCATAAACATGTCTAAGTATGTTGGTGAGCAGGTGTGATCATACCAACACTAATGCACCAGATACTATCAGAACTCCGCAGTTAAGCGTGCTTGTGTGATAGTAGAACTAGGATGGGTAATCACCTGGGAAGTCCTCGTGTTGCACCCCTTTTAAAAAAAAGTATGTTGGTGCGCATTTGTTTTTAGGACGATAATTGGGGTGATGGTTCTTCTTTTGCTTCCATGTGTCCTCACTTATATCATTTGCCTAAAAATCCCAATTCGTCTATTTTTACCATGATCTCATCTGTTTCTTCCCCAAATTGCTGGAACTTTGATTTCTTTAGGAACTTGAATGATAGAGAAGTTGTTGGGATGTCCTCCCTTTTGGGCATTCTTGATAATATTGTATTGAATCATTTATTTTTTTTGGGCTAGCTCATGATATGAACGAGTTGCACATTTGGATCGTAGGAAATAGACTATTTCTTCTTCAGGTGAGTTCTCTTGTAAGCCTTTTTTTGAGACTTTGATTGATAAGCCAAGTTTCCCAATCTTCCCAAGCTTAATCATGAT